AAAATTGTGTATCTTACTTTCCTGGCAGAATGTTGAATACAGGGTAGCTTAAAGAACATTTTTAAATGTGAAATTTCTTGCATATCCATTTGTGGACTAGACTCATACTAATGTCACTTATAATAAAATGTAGTAAGTTCCAGGAAAGAGGCAAGCACTTAGAAGCACAGAGGACAGGTATTCAATCTGGTCTTGGGAATGGTGGTCATGTAATTAAATAAATGCAGAGAGTTGATAAAGTTCAATGAATTCAGGGATCTCCAAGTAGTTTGTTTTGGCTGCAGTATATGATGTACATAGGCATGTCTTCTGAGCATCAGCCACATTTAAAGACTTTTGACTTAATCCTGAGAGCTATGAGTACTAAAGGATTTCTTAGCCTGAGAGATATATCCAACTGACAGCTTTGTTTAACACATATAAACTGCAGGAATATGGCTTTTGCCGCCCTTGAAAGATTTGAGGCGGACAAGAAAGGAGCCAGAAGCAACAAGTTAAGAGAGTTTAAAATAGTTCAGGATAGAGATGATGAAGGCCCATACTATGAAAATAATAATGCTTTAAAAAAGATGGAACACATAACATATATTAAGAAGGTAAAATGGAGAGGCTTTAGTGACCAGTTGAAAACAGAGAAGAGAACTGGAGAGATTGTAGAGGTCATTTGGGGCGCTGAATTTGCAGGTAGCATTTGCAAATGAGTAGTTCACAAATGAGACTAAAGAGTTACCAGAAAAGTGTGAGGAAGGAAAGGAGAAAGTGGTATCACAGAAACTAATGAAGCAGAAGATTTCAAAGAGAATATTCAAAAGCAAAGTGCCTCATATGTCAAAAAACCTTGGGGGGTTGGGAAAGTAGGACAAGAATTTAAATGTGTTTGTTGCATTTGGAAATAAAAAGTAATTAGTTGCCTTAGTAAAGCAGTTATATGTGTGGACCACTTTTTATTGAAGTTTCGTTAAATAGGTTGTACAGAACTTGGTTATACAGAGAATGGTCAAGAAAAGATGTCTCTTTTATTTACTTTTTATTTTTTGTCATGAAAAAAACTTAAATGGGAGAAAAGAGGTTAAAAATACCAAGAAGTAAGAGAGTAATTATGAAAAGGGACCCTGAGAAAGCAAGAGGACACCATGGGCTCTAAATCACAGATAGATTGAACTTGGACTGATAGGGGGTAGTGTTTCCTCTCAGACAAGACAAAAGCGTGGGTGAAGATACAACTCAATGTGTGTGTAAAAACAGGAAAGTGGGTGGATAAAAGATTCAAGCAGGCGTGATGGCTTTTATTTTCTGTGTGAAATAGGAGGCAGCCCCATCTCCTGAGAATAAATGCATAATAGCTGAGTTGGAGGCTTAAAAAGAGAGGAAAAAGTCTGTAATAGCCACTAAAGAGGATATAAAAGAGCTGAGGGAATTCCAGAAGAATCTGAGTAAGGATATGCAGAAAGCTGATCTGGTTAGCACTGATTCATTCTGCAGCTCTCAACTCAGATGTCACTTGATCAAAAAAGATGAAGTCCCTGTTACATGCTTTCAGAGGACTTTTTTAAGAGGCTTATCATGGTTTTAATCTTCTATTAATTTGTGAGATTATCTGATTAATTTATGTTTAATTGGACTGCAATCATATTTGTGAGTTCAGGGATCATATTTATTTTGCTCATCATTGTATCATTTAACCCTTAGTTGCCCATCTCTAAAATGTGGAGAACAATAATTCCTCTCTACATGACCAGGATATGGATATAGTTAGGTTAGCATGAATCTGGAATTTAAGATATAAGAAGGCAGAGACTTTCGATTGTTCATTGTTGTATCCCCAGTGCCCAGTACAGTGCATGACACATTGTAGAAGCTCCGTAAATATTTACCTGAATGAATGAAACACATATGGTTTCATATTTGGTGTCATAGGACACCAAGTCTCCTGACTTCCATTCTAGTGCTCTTCCCATTCTACCAGAGCTATCTATAGCAGATGATTGATACATTATGTTTATTATGCTAAGGGTCAATGCAGCTAGTAAGCAGTGGATCAAAATTCAATCCTAGGTCTGCCTCACTCCAAAATCTGATCTCTTTCTTGTATTCCACACTGCTTACTAAGGTATTAGACAATAAAAGGTTTCATACATGAACCTTTCTAGGGGTATGCGTAGTTGAAATTGAAACATTCCTATCAACCTCCCCACTGGTGAAGAAAAATAAACAAACAAAAAAGTAATGATTTTAGTGGTAAAAAATCTCAGGAAAAGTGACTATGACAGGCCAATGACGATAACATTTATGGGCATTCACCTATTACTGCCTCCCACATCATACCATGGAAGCACCTCCTAATCTACCCTATGTGACCCTATACAATATTCATCTCCCCAGCATAAATTTTAAGCCCACAGGCACAATGGAAGACCTAAATCCAAAGAACTTATCTTCTCAGAATTGTCTCAGAGTGACCAAAGAAGCAGCATGGAATAATGGAAAAAGACACATAGATCTTGGCATGATAGTGATACAGGAGTGGGGCAGGAAAGTGCTGGGTAGAGAAGGACAAAGGACGGGGTCCCTGGCAAGGGCTCCATCCTAGGGCCTGTGCCCATGGACCTAAGTGAGAACAGTAACTCCCTGTTTTCATGCCCAAATGAAGCCTCTACCAATACCACTCTGGTCCACCATGTCGCCCATCCTGTGCCCATAAAAACTTGAAACCATAGCTGGCGTAGACACAAGCAGCTGGACATCGAGAAGGCCAGAGGAACACACCAGTAGACACCAGCAGACATTGGCAGACCTGCGATGGCACAATGATGTGGACACCGAGGGGAGTTCAGCCAGGGGCGGCTGGAGGAGCATCCGGCCACTGGGCGGCCGGAATCCAGGGGAAGATCACTTTCCCACTCCATCCTCCTTTTGGCTCCTCATTCATCTCACTGAGAGCCACCTTCACCACTCAGCAAAACCTTGCATTCATCCTCCAAGCTCATGTGTGATCTGATTTTCCCAATACACCAGGCAAGAACCTGGGATGCAGAAAGCCCTCTGCCCTTGCAATAAGGCAGAGGGTCTAATTGAGCTGATTAATACAAGCCATCTGCAGACAGCAAACCTTAAAGAGCACACTGTAATACACACCCACTTGGGCTTCAGGAAACATACACATTCACCCCTAGATGCTGCCATGGGGTTGGAACCCAAAAGCGCTCCCCACAACCTCTGCACCTACTGGTCTGCATGCTCCCCCTGGGGGTTTGAGCAGCCTGACACCAAGGAAACGACCCTTGCAGCATGCCCTGTGAGGGGGATAAAGGAACTCTCCTGTTTCAATACTTTACCTATCTCTATCCCAATTTTCTTATCTATAAAATGAAGGTAATATTACTTGCCTACATAAGGCTTAGGAAATGATTAAATGAGATAGTATATGTAAAATGTTTGTAGCACAGTGGCAAAAATAATTCAATTGTTAGCTGTCTAGTGCCTCCCTCATATCCAGAAGCCACCTCCTATTGATTCCTTGAAGACATTGAAAAATATATTAAAAGGAACAAGCAACACAGCCCACCCCACCCTGACTTCTCCAAGTTGTAGCAAAACACGGATGATATATTTCTTTGATTAAAATGAAATGCCCTGGAAGCAGCAGCTAATTATTTACAGGTAAGATGACAGCACCAAAAAAATAAAAACCCAATAGGTATTCTGCCTTTCCTTTGTCTTATTCTACTGTTTAAATAATTATTTATAACATTTTATTGCCGTTTATATCATTAGGTAGAGTCAGGACATCTGGTTCATTTCACAGATGAGGAAACTAAGATAGGGAGGGATGGGGTGTCCACCCCAAGGTCACACAGTTATCCAAAAGAACTAGAAACCAGATCTCTTAGTCCTTAGTTTAGTACTCTCCCCACTTAATAATAATAACAATAGATCTGTGCAATTTACTTGAGTCGCGAACTCTCTAAATCATTCTAGAATGTATTAAAATATCAATCAAAAATAGCTGAAATCTTTTATTGTCTAATACCTTAATAGGCAGTGTGGAATAGGAGAAAGAGCTTAGATTTTGAAGTAAAGCAGACCTGGGATTGAGTTCTAATTCCACTCTAAAACATTCCGGAGTTTTAAAATTTTCAATCAAAAACAGCTGGTGTGTGCTTGCAGTACCAGCTACATGAGAGGCTAAAGACGGAGGATTGCTTGAGCCCAGGAATTTAAGTCCACTCTAGGCAACAGAGTGAAAACCAATCTCTTTAAAAAGTTGCTTTTTAAGGAGCTGGTTAATCCTTGGTGTTCATTTCCTGGTTTTATGTATCTTTCTCAAATATTTTAAGAAGAAAACCAATCTGGAAGCATCCAAATTGGGTGCAGTTTGTAAAAGTGATGTTCATTATTTAAGTGTTAACTATAAAGAAAAACAAGTATCAGAAGATGATAGTACATTTCAGAGCAAAAGCAGTGAAATTTGGAAATTTTATATGAATAACTCTACTGTATATGAAACCATAATATATGAACAAATTATATCTCACATGAGGACATGCATATTCTATAACTAAATTCAAAACATCATACCATATAATGAAATCATTCATCATTCATTTTAGAGAAGTTCTATAATTATCTGTGAGCTTAAGAGATAAAAGTTGCTGCAAAGTTGAGGATTTTCATTTATAGAAAACCACATAGAAATTAATCTCAGAGAACATTCTAACTGTAAAATGCAACTACCTTACCATTACCAAAAAAACCAGGTTTGCTTAAAAGAGGTATGAATTTTATAGAAAATAAAGGCTAATAAGAAAACAACAATAAAAATTAAAGCAATAGTGCTATCCATACTGATGATCCAGCACTCATTAGCTTCATGTGGAAAAAAAATGCAGTGCTCCCCAAATTATTGCTGTATCAAATCAAACTACTTTTTGCCCAAAAAAGATTCATGAGCCCATTAGGAAAAGGCAAAGAAAGTGAAACAAATATTCAAAATAACTTACCCCTTATCTGCAAACTTTATCCTTTAAAGAAGTTCCAGACTTATTCTATGTGAATAACATATTCAGTTGTAATCAAATTCTGTAATACCACTGAAGTCTGTCTCAATGAACAGCTCCTTGGCTTAATGGATTTTAAATGATCTTACAACTAAAGCCTTTCTTTTAAAAAGTAGGAGGAGCTCTTGTTTTATCCATGAAAAATACCAACTGTCATTAGAAAATCTGCATTCAAAACAGGTCAGCATTTAAGGTTACATTTGTCAAAAGATTCAGAGGAAATTACAAAGTTCATCTGAGTGATTTTTTCCCCCTTTTAATTAGTTCCTGATACAGCATCTTAGTATGCCAGTGTTTTTTTTTCTTTCTTTCTTTTTTTTTTTTTTTTTTTTTTTTTTTTACTATGTGACTCATCATATTGGGAATTAAAAGATAATCCAAAGGTAAGCATGTGATTGCCAGGTTTATGTTGTTTCCTCAAAGTGTTCTACCCAAAGGCATCATTATTTTGAGTTTCAAATACCTTCAAATACTAAAGGAGTCATAAATAGATAAGGGATCCAGAAACCGGATTCTACTCTAGGCTTTTCCTCCCAGTCAGCTCTGTGACCTTGGGCAATTTCCTTAACCTCTTTGGGCCTCAGTTTCAAAAATATATTGAATGGGATCTCAGAAGTCATCTAGTCAAACCCTCTATTCCCAAACAAAAATTGCCTCTGTACTTCCCCTAAGCAATTGTTAGTTTCTCATGTGTAAAATGAGCCAATAGAACTATGTCAAGTCTAAAGCTCCCTTGAATTCTAAAATCCTTGGTGTTGTAATTAAAATTCAGTAAGTGTTATGTATACACTTCATTTCCCGTGGAAAATTTATCAAATCATTCTTTACACAACCAAACAAGAGTTTATTTCAGCCCAGATAAAATTAAGTAAATTCAGGCCACCACCAAATTGTCTCTCATCTTTCAAGTCTCCAGAGTTTCTGTCTGCCCCTGGTTTAATCTCCATGTCCAGGAATCATGCAAAGCCATAAGAAGCCAGAATACTTTTGATGCTTTTCTGGAGCAAATGAGATGTCAGTCATTCATTCCCAAAAGGGAATGGATTAAGGTTGGATCCAGTCTCTACACCACCCAATAGATACAAATTGTCTTCCTTGCTTTGGAACACAGGTTCAGACTTGATAACTTGTCTCAGATTCTAAAGATATATTTTACACTAAATATGTGAATAAGCAAATAAAAGGCAAGAATCTGAATGAAGAGAGGGCCAGCCATGTGTGCAGTCTTCTCTCCATTATTAGCTTTATGTTTTACCCCATGATGTTTTTTATCCCTAGATGTCTTTCTTTTTTGTTCATTTCCATAGCTGATGTTTCTCCCTAAATTAAAGTTAAGAGGGTGAGAAGAAACTGGGAATTGTTTAGGGAGTTTGGTACTTACTTTTCAGATGTCAGCTGGTTTGGCTCTCTCACAATAATTTGTAGTAGAAATTATTTATCAAGCCTACAGGAGGAATTTTCAGAATTTGCTGACATGATGGTAAGGAAAAAAAGATCTAGATTCAAAATCTTCTTTCTTTTTCCTGAGACTGCATTTTCAATTAACTAATGTGTCTTCTTCTATTTAAAAAAAAGAAAAAAAAACACCCCCATGAAGTTTTCTTCAAGTTTCCTGTTTCCCCTGAATCCTCTAGCTCTTGCAAATATTTCACTATGCTGTAACTTATCTTACAATGCCACTGACCCAGCTTTGTGATATTCTTATTATATACCATGATATTGGAGAGGTACAATTCAAAGAAATAGAAGTATAATAATATCTTAGAATAATAAAGTACATTTATTTGTAGATATGCAAACCATAAGTTAAATTTAGTTAATCAAATACAACTGGAAACAATAATGCACCATGCCTCGGTTGTTAAAGTCCATTAGATATTCCCTTCCACCTTGATTTGATAGCTTAATTAATGAAAGCATAAGGTAAGCTTTGCTTCTTGGTGTGAAAAAAAATACACTAAAAAGATAATTCATTTTAATCTGCTAAAAGTCCTATTTGAATGCTTTCTAATGGCATCAATAAAAATAAATATATTCTTTGTCATTGATACTTGTATACTTGTACCTTAGCAATCATTAATCTCTGCTCCAGAAGGCATATTTCAAGTCCTAAGAAAAGAAGTTTGGGGAGTAACCTTGAATGGTGCAGAGAAAGGAGGATGGGTAAGACTACTTGGGGCAACCCCTCTCCAGCTGCAAGATGGTCTACACCAAATTGAAGAGAAGGTGTAAGCCCATATTTGATGCAGCAGGATAAGTGTTACCCAAGGTGTGTTGAGTGAAGAGGTACACAGAAGCCTAAGAATGAGGAAGCTTTTCTGGACAGTTGAGATTAAGTTATTATTTTCAAGGAACTTAGCAAGATGATATAAATGATGCAAGCAGTCAGCAGTGCCTGGAAAAGGGCCAGCAGAACCAGAAAATGATTTAGGCCTGGCCCTCAATTTCCACAGAGACAGAGGAAAAATTGAGCTTCCAGATTGGAGTCAATTAAATAGCCAACATCAGATGGTAGAAAGAGGAAAGAGCTAAAGCCTGGTGCTTACAAAGATTCCCACAGGCCGAAATCAATTCCAGAGGCATAGCACAAACTAGGCTATTTCCAGACTTCAACTTGGTAAAAGAGAATGGTTCATTGGGCCAGGGCCATGTCAGGGCTCAGACTTCCCAGGCTGACACAATTAGCTGCAGCTAGAATGGGGCTAGGCTAGACAAGGACTTTCCATAGCCTCTCCAGCAGGAACATGTATATTACTTTATCTGTTATCCCCCTCAGATAGCCAAGTGGATATTATGTTAGTTTTACAAATGGCTATAACTAAAAGTTTCAATAGGTTAAGTTACTTTCCAGAAATCAAAAATTCAGGAAGAATCAAACCTAGGTCACCTAGATTTGACATCTAGGCTTACGCTCTTACATCCACTGCTGGGATTTTTTTCTTTTTTTTTTCATACCTCAGTAGCTAAAATGGTCAACTGGCAGGAGTCATTCTGTAAAGCTTTATAATCCCAAGTATTCTGTTAACTATCAAAACAGGAAATGAGTATTCTTAACTGTTGTACAAATGAGGCAATCAGCAAAGGCAGCATTTGATGTCTCAAGTATTTAATGGCCTTGTTAAGGTTAAAGGGAATTAAATAGGCAAAAAAAAAGAAAAATAAACAACCCTTTGACATTTAGTTTGTATGTATATGTACATGTACACACATGGTTTTAAACAAAATTCCCTGAATTTGGTAACAATTTTTAAACATTCATGCAAATGGCAAACTTCTAAGGTTCTAAAAGCATTTTTTTTTTAATCAAAACATCCCTAGAAGACTTACTTGAAAAGTTATTTAGTAAAGTTGGCATACTGCATAGAACATTAGTGTCCTATAAAGAACACACTCTGTGAGATAGAGGGCATCAAGATTGCCTGCTTTCCCCCAAATCCAGTTAGTTTGATGAAACTAATTTATCAACTCTGAATTCACCCTCTAGACTACTACAGATTCAACAGCAGGAAACCACTGCTGAGATTCTCAGGAAACCCACAAGACTTGGAAAATTTAATTAGCAACATTAGGGTCTAGTCCCTAGAAACTTAATGGAATTAACACCACCAGTCATGAACAGAGACCACAGAGGTTAGCTGTGCCAGACTGTTTACCACTCATTCAACAGTTACAGAGCAATAATGTGTCAAGCATTGTAGCTCACATTCTAGTTAAAGGGATAGAAACCAGAAACTATGAAATACTTACAGTACAATGTGAGAAGAACAGTACACTATGATAGAGGTCATTGGCAGCAAAGAGAGCTCAGAGGAGAGAACAACGAATTCTACCTGTGTTGTCAAAAGGGTGATATCTTCAAGCAGAGATGGTTTGGAGGACCACCCTGGCTCCTGATAATATCAAGTTGTAGAATAATAAAATATGCATTTGCCTTTTTCCCAGGTTATCTGAACAGAGTGCCTAAAACCCTCGAAATTTCCCAAGTAATAGGAATGTCTTCTATTATTCATAATGAGCCCCTTTCAACCACACCTGAGTTTATGCTAATGAAGTGACTCTTGGAGGACAGGGGCTAGTGGCCAGAGGAACCAACCACTCAAATTAGAGGGTTGGAAATTTCAGCCCCACCCCTGACATCTAGGGATGGTAAAGGGTTTGGAGATTGAGTCAGTCACCAATGGCCAATGATTTGATCCATCATGCCTACATAATGGAACCTCCATTTTAAAAAAACAAACCTAAAACAAAGGGTTTGAAGAGCTTCCACGCTGAGGTACTGGGAGGGCAGCATGTCTGAAGAGTGCATGAAAGGTCCACAACTCCCTATCCCATACCTTGCCGTATGAAGCTCTTCCATTTGACTGTTTTGAATTGTATTTTTTATAATAAACTGATAATAGTAATGTTTTCCTGAGTTCTGTGAGTCATTCCATCAAATTATTGAAACTGAAGAGCCAGTTGGTCCAAAGTGCTGGGACTTGCTACTGGCATCCGAAGTGGGGCAATCTTGTGTGACTGAGCCCTTAACCTGCCATGACTGTTGCTAACTACAGATAGTGCCATAACTGAATTGAATTGTTGCATGCCCAGCTGCTGTCAGAGAATCAGAAATTTAGAGAATTAGTTGATATCAGAACACACCCCAGACAAGTCAACCTTCTGTGAAAATAAATAAAATTTAAAAGCTGTTGGAATCCCAAAAGACACTTTAAGAGAAACGGAACTGTGATCCAAGTCACATATGGTTACAACTTCTGTTCTCAGGTTATACATTGAATCACTTTTTTATTTTTCTGATACTGTACAATGACTAGAGATAATTAAACAATGTCAGGGATAAAAACCTCCTGCCTTCTTGATGAATGACTCTTGTTATAGATTAACTTCCCCTCTGGTGTCCTGCTTTGCTCAAACCAGATGACAGAAAACCCATGATGATTACATTCTCTGTAAAAAATGTTAAATATATCCTTTCCGAAAAGAAACACTGACCATAACCAATCAAATTGCTATAACAATGCATCAGCCTTGTATGAATAATGTTGTAATCCTGCTAAAAACTTCTTTGTCTCTGCCTATATAAATGAAATCTTACCTTCCCTACTTCAGAATGCTGACTCCATTCCCTTGGAATTGGTGTTTCTGGGTGGTCCATCCTCACATTTTGCACTTGAATAAACTTTCTTTAGATTAGATTTTTACCTTTTTGATTACCTGATGTTGACACTTCTTTATAACACTTTATCAAAATGGCCCACCTTTGCGTAAAGGCCAACGTCTTTAGGAAGCTAATCAAGATAAAATTGTCGATGAACTCTGGCAGAGACTAATTATTTCCCAGTGTCAATTCTACTATTTTTCCTTTTATTATACTAATAGAAACTCATGAGTTTTCACTGTGTACATGGCCTCCAAGCTAGAGACTACATTTTCCAGACTGCTTTGCAGCTTGGTATGAAAATATGACTGAAATTTATACAATGAGATGCAAGAAATGATGTGTGCAACCTTTGAGTCATGTTTTGACAAGAAAATCATTTCTCCTCTTCTTTTCCTCCCCCAACCCAACCAGCAGGCTGTAGCCCAGATGTAATAGTGGGAGCCATATTTAACCACATTGACAATGTCAACATACACTAGGAGGTGGCAAAGCAACAAGATAGAAGGACCCTAGGTTTTGAGTGACCTCCTGTGGCAGTGCTATCTTCCCACATTTTCATCTTTTGCTTGAGTCATCATATTTTGAGGTTTCTTGATTATAGCAGTTTGCCCTGTAGCCTAATTAATACAGGAACAAATATCCATTAAAGTGCTAATTGACATTACTTAAAGTGTTACTCTTCCCAAAGATATTTGCTCATGGAATCCAAAAATCAAAGAATGTACAAAATCCAAAGGGAAAATATGCTAACGGTGTTTCAAATCCAGTGGCGGGCAGGAAATTTTTGTGTTTTGGTTTGTTTTTACTTCCCTTTAAATCCTAGCATAAAATTCCCTACTCTGCCACTCCGTTAAGCTCAGCCCTGACTAATGTTTCTACGTCTGTTTCTGATCTTAGCGTGTGATTTCCTTAGGGGCAGGCAGTGTGCCTTACTTGCCTCTGTAAATCCATTTCCTAGAATATAGCATGTTTCAAAAAATGTTTATTAAATGTAACCATATTTCCTCCCTTATTTTTAAAAGCTTCCTCCACCTATAATTTTATTCTAATAATGCAAATAACCAAATGATAAACATAATAATGACAGCTATAGGCTGATATTGCTGATTTAAACTGCATGTCAGGCAGTATGTTCAATGACTACTCATATTCTTTAGTCCTCCCAATAACCCCATAATGTAGAAACTACTATTGACATTTCCATTTTACAGAAG